GGAAATACCGTATGCGAAAACCTATAAAAAAGTGCTTTTGGATTCAAAAAAACTATGTCGGCAAAAAATGCCGCCTGCTCTATGACGAAATGCCCACTGTGTAACGGAGGGCACTCACTGCAAATTAAGAAATATCTGCATTAAAATACATCGCAAGTTGAAAAACGATAGGAGATCGCTGTTAAAAAAAGTGGAGAATAGTCAACGGTAAAATAGTTTATGATAGGGTAATGAATGACAAAAAGGTTTATAGATTTGCAACATTTAATATACTCTTTTTTTTCCTGTACTTGATGAAACTCCTTAAAAATAGAAGCACCGCCAGATTGGTTTATGGGATTTACCACTCTTTTATAACTTTTTCTAATAATTAAATAAATAAATGAAATTTGAAGTAAAATGATTGTCGATCTTTTTCATATTCTCAAAAAGGATTTCTCATCCTTCGTTATTTTTTAATTATTTATTAAATTTTAGTACGATAAAGATAAGATACGTTAAGAGGAATCAACATGTATATTTCATTTTTCAATTCTATTCTCTCTGTTGATTCATTTTCAGTTTTATATAGAATGTCACTATAATAGTTCGAGGATAAAACATTGATATACATGGAATTTTCAAATAATAAGTTTGTCAAAATATCACTTATCATCATATACAACCTTTGTATTTACATAGATCATTATGATCTAACATGAAAATGTTTATCTTTTGTTGAGATATATCTAAACTTCTAGATTTAATTTTTTAACTTGTTAAGAAAATAAGAGATTAATATCTTCGATCATATAATACTTATGACGGTGATTTCACCGATTGAGTAAACGTACTATTTTATAGAGATCCTGAAAATAATATTAAAGGTATAGTTTATTATGTTAGTCCATGGTTTCCTTCATTATCAAATTTCCTCATTGCCATGATGACGATTCTTTAAATATATCTACTGTACGAAAACACATTTATAATCGAAAAGTAGATATGGTTAAGTTGGAACTATCTCATGATAATTCGTCATTGTACGAGAATATTTCCTATTCTGCGATTTTACATATTCCTAAATTAGTTCGGTCAATTTTGTCTCGGACATAAATAATTCTGAAACTTTCTAACGGGATGACACTTTCATCCTACAAAAAAATTAAATATTGTTGAAATATTTTTAAAAATTTTAAGTTTCTAAATCTTTATTCATAAATTATCTTTGAATATCAATGAAAATATCGTGTTAAACATATATTTAATAAATATAAATTAATATTGTTATGATAATTAAGATCTAATTGACAGATTTATTTTATGTATATTTATGACTGATTAATGATAGATTGTTTTCCAAATGATTAAACAAAAACGTGGTCATATCTATAAGAAAAATTTCCATTTGGATAAGCTTCTATATCAGTTGTAAAACATCGATATCCACCTTGTCCATAAAGACATCGAATTCATTGAAAAAATGGACTATATTTTTGTATAATTAATGGATTATATTCATTTTCATTTATATAACAATAAAGTTCACAATCAAATTTTTGAAGATAAGGTACAAGACTAGGAAGATATTCGGACATTTGTATAAAATGAACATTATAAGGAATATTTCTTTCAAGATTTCCCCGAACGCTTAATCGAATTAAATTTGGTGTCCATTTTAATAATTTTTTCAAAGAAGGAATAACAGAAGTATTAAAAGTAATTTTCAAACGTTTTAATGTTAAACAAGGTTGAATAAGATCGATTAAAGAATATAAATCTTCTAAATATGTTTCAAAACGATATAAATATTGAAATTGTTCAAAAAGAAAATTAAGTATTGGCCAATTCCATTTTGTAATAGAAAGAGAACGAATTTTGTTTCTTGATGATAATTTATTAGAATTTAATTTCAATTGACTATTATCATTGGATTTAAAATGATAAATTTTTAATGATGGAAAATGTTCACCTCGAATTATTTTACAAAAGAATACTTCTTGAAGAAAATATTTTATATTAAAGATTGAAAGTCGTTTTAAATAAGGTAAATTCATTTGAATTATCTAAATAAATTTAATAGAAATATAGTTTATTAATAGAATAAAAATTACTTGATTTATTTGATCTTTTGTTAAATAATCACAATCAAATACTAATGAACGAAGTTCAGTAAATATCAGAAAATTCAATGATGACTATAAAGTAGAACATAGTTTTAAATGAAGTATTTGTTTTGGATTAAATTCAAAGAAATAATCAAAATTATTAGTACCATTTTGTGTTAATCAACAACAAGAATTATATTATTGATAGTATTTATAATTGAATCAATACATTTATTAAGTCCTTTGAATGAACGAAGAGTAATTATATCAATATATTGAAATATTTCAAGAAATAATTCATCAGGAAATGATTCTAATCGAAGTTGATGAGATGATAAAACATTATGAATCATTTATAGTTGGAAATAATTTTTTCGGTGCAGTTTAATGACGGATTTCGTTACTATATTCATACATGTGAGTGATTCTGGTGATTTTTGTACTGTTCGATTTAAGCTAATGAAAATGCATGATTCTCCGTTAATACTAAATCGAACTTTTAGAAGCTTATGCCGTTTTATTCCGAACACTTTACTCTATATATACTGCTAAGATCTCTTTTCTGTCTTATTTCCTTAGTGTACAGTAAGCAAAACACTTTGTTTTTGGGTTCTTTTTCCTTTCTTTTCTTAGTGGTTCCTGCACGTTCTTTTTTCTTAATTAACATTTTTCTTTTCTTAAGGAGCAGCGGAACAAAATCTTTTTTGCTTTTTGTGCAGTATTTTACCTGCTCTGTCAATCTGCAGTCTTAGTTTTGCCTAATCTCTTTTAGTTTCTGTGAGAACTTCGATGAAACTTCTGGTCCTCGAAAAGTTCAAAAATCGTGTCTCACCCCCTTTTGAGTCTACTGCGCAGCCAATAAGCACTTTAAGTCAAATATTTTTCAATGAAAGGATTTACCAAAGTAGGCACTATAGATTGTTGAAAGCCGCAAGTTGCTAGCTTTTTTCGTTTTTGAGTAACTGACGTCCAGTAGCTTGTGACATACAATTTGTCCCACCTCCTTTTGACTCTCCCCTGACTGAACTACATGGAATTGAGAACTCGTTTTTTTACCATAGGTGTCAAATGGGTAGCACAAGTTATACTGTAAATAGCAAGGCTTTATCTTATTTCTAAAGGAAGAAATTTGAAAAATACATCAAAATGTCCCACCCCTAACTTTTGTACCACCCCCAAACATATTCCTAGAATTGCTTTGGCTAGTACATAAAGCCTCATATTATACGCTTATACGTATTTTGACACCCTGAATTGAATGACCGCCTCAGTTTTCTGAAAACCAGCTCAGCAAAGGATTTCCAGAAAACCTGGATTTCTAGAGGCTCAAGGCTAGAAATTGTCAAAAACCATTTTTTAAGGATACCAGTTGATAGAGCAGATGTGAAAACCTATGTTTCAATACATTTTTAAGCTCAGTTATGCCTTTTTAGCTGAAAAGCAGAGAAAATCGCATTTTCGATCCTGAGTCAGAAAGTGAACTACCAGGATTTGTGCTGAGAAGGACTTGGCAGTTTGGTAACAGAGTTTTTTCTAGGCTTTCAAGTACCCTCTGTAAATCTAGAGTGTTAAAACATTTTCTTGGACACTTTCATTTTGGGTCATTTTTTTTTTAAAAACGGTACAAAAATCACCAGAATCACTCATATATACAGACACGTATGATAGAACAGAAAAACAAAATTTATTGGTGTATCATTTAACCAGTACATGATGAAAGAAATAGATGTTATAAGAGAACAGATATTTATTTATAAAAAGAAAATTATATAAATTATATGAGATAATTATTGAACAGGATTAATTGATCTAATCTGGTATATTATATATTTCTTTTTATTGTTTTATCATCAAAATCTCGGCACTATACAAATTCTTCTAGATAGGTAGGAAGTAAAGATATACACATTTTATCTGGCTTTTTTTGTTTACGTTTCAATCTCAACCAGGTATTTTCAATACTTTGCGTATGTACATCATTTGCTGGATCAACAAAAAATTTAGAATGACTACCCGAAGCATATGGATAGTCACTCGATGCACTGTAAGTTTTCTACTTATCTGAATGAATTGTTGAATCTATAACATAGTGGTATATACAAAAATTGTGTGATCAAAATATGAAGTATTTGGTATGATGAATTTTTCTATGATAGGTATTAAAGTTTCTCTATCGTGCTAATCAATAAAAACTATAAAATATTTCTTTGTTGTGGTATCGATACCACCAAAAATCCACTATTAATACTCCATCTCAGGTTCACAAATCTGACAGCAAATCCGATTATTCTACATAATCGTATAGAATTCTGTCCGGAAAATATCAGTCAGTTGTTGAAAATTTATCAGCGCTGTTTTTAATTATAAACTGAGAAATTTGACGCATATTGCGATCGCTATCTTCAATAGTTTTTCAATACGTGAGTATCAACGCTAGTCATTCAAAAGATTAATATCTTTGACTAATTAGATTCAATCTAATTTAATTTTTCGAAGGTTGTTTAAAAAAATGATTGCAACAGATTTATCGTATTTCACATTTTTAATCTCATGTTACTGTTCTAATATGTAAAACATATTCATTGTTACATTAGGATTAACTGAATGACTTTACTAATTATCAATAATAAAAATCTAATTCAATTCAATACTTTAAACACCTAGAAATGTGATAACAGTTTTTGTTTTTGACTAGCGGTGTGACAGTTCCATATCAGTTCCGAGAGCGGGAGCTAGCACACCATTTCAAGCTCATATGAAAGGAGCTGATCAACAGCTCACATGAGTAGGAGCTGGTTAACAGCTCACATGAGTAGGAGCTGGAGCTGGTTAACAGCTCACATGAGTACGAACTGGAGCTGATCAACAGCTCACATGAGTACGAACTGGAGATGGTCACCAGCTCTTTACTACATTTACTCACAGTTCACGAGCTTGAACTGTCACACCCCTAGTCAGAATAACACAATGATTAACTTT